GTGTCAAGAACAGACTAGAAAGGAATAGAGTTTATTCTATATTTATGTTTTAATGAGTATTTCTACTTCTTATGTAATGACTATATGACATTTATATTAACTTTAAGAAAATAATGAGGGTAGACTTCCTGTTCAGTTAAGACAGGAGGAGCAAACAGATGGGACCTTGAGTCGGGAATGAAAGTCTGAGAAGGTGAGGGAGCACCTCTGCATCACCTATGTACTGTCTGATTTCAGTTAGTGTGTGTATTGCTGGGATGGTTTCCCCATCACCATTGGGGCACTTGTTGAAGGCAGTTATCATAATCCTGCATATTTCCCCTGGCCTTGTCTGGCCACTTCTGCACAAAAACTCTTGTGGAAATGCCTGCCTGCTTGGTCCTTTATTATTTTTATTGGGTGACTCATCTCCCTGTTTGGACAAAAACTTCTTGGGACCATGCACTGAGCATAGTGCCTTATACATACCTAATTTGAGCATTATTATTTTTGTCCTTTTAAGGATAGAATTGCAAGTTCTTGTGTGAGTTTGAGTGAGTGTATGTGTGTAAAATATTCTGTGTATATAAAATGAATAGTTAGCTTGGGGATATCAGGTATCCTTCATTTTCAGAAGAAATGCACGGTGGGATAGTCACCCTAAGAGGGGAATTGACAATGGCCTCTATTTTTCTTAAGTAGTTTGGAATGAGGGCATGGTAGGATGGTAAGAGCTCAGGCATAGGAGAGAGAGAATGTGCGAGATACCATCTCTATCACTTAATAGCTGTATGGCTCTAGGAGCCTCTATTAACACTAGGAAAGTCTACCTTGTGGACTGTTATTTCCAATTATGTCCTTACATAATTTGAGCCTTGAATATAGTAAACTCACAGATAACGACAGCTATGTAATAGGTTTCCGACATTTAAAAAAATCTTTAGGCAGTAGGAAAGCTTACATGGATAGTTTGCGTTGTTTTGATCTGTGTATTATGATCAAATCCTTTTGTTGCCTGTAGGATAAATCCACTAAAATCTTAACACATGAGTCCATCACTCAGGGATTCTGTCCCATTTTATTTTTTGCTATTAAAGCTTCCTCCTGTTCTAAAGTTGTACAAACTTCAAGTCACATCCACCATCTCAGCACCTTGGCCCAATGCCCTAGCTTGCAGTGACCTCCTGCCCCTGAATTACTAGAGCACCCTCTCTTTTTTATTTATTCATTTATTTATTTATTTATTTATTTAATCATGTTTAAATCAATTTTTATTGTTCATATTATTACAAAGGTTCCTCATTTCTTCCCCTCTCCACCAGGTTCCCACCCCACCATCTACCCCCTCCCCACCCTGCATTGTCCTCATCCATAGGTGCCCAGTTTATATTCAGTCTCTTCCTGCATCTACCACTCCCCCTTTCCCCGAGAACTGTCAGCCCACTTCCCTCCCATATCGCTGACTCTACTACAATCAACAGCTAATATTGTTCATCAGGTTTTTCAATCTCCTTTTTTTGTTGTTGTTGTTTTGTTTTTTTAAAATTAATAAACTTTTACACTTCTAAGAATAAATTTTAAAATCTAATAATTTTAAACCTTGTTTTTTCTGCCCTGGGAATTGAGAAGCAAACTTGTTTACATGTAAACTTGCCCTTAGGCTATCAAAAGGTGTAGCCATTCAAATGTAAATGAACACATTGTTTAAAGATAGCTGCTGGTTGGAACTGGATTACCTGTTCTGGGTGGGAAGGGCTTGTCCTCCCCTTTCTCCATTAAAATTAAGGTGTTAGCTTTAAAACCTCTTTTTGGCAAGAGACCTTAAATTTTCAGAACTTCAAGTTTTTCAGGTAGTAAATCAGTTACTTAGCATTTTCTCAAATCAAATAATACCTCCACATGCCCAAGGATACACTTCACACACAAGACATTTCCAAATAGATCAACCAACCTCATCCAAACCCCACACAAGGCACTCACAGATCAATACCCCAGCGCTATACTAACTCAACACATCCAGATCTAAGCCTTCATCACTTGATTCAGCAGACCCTCAAGTTCCCCCAAAAGTTTCCAGCCATGTCTGAGAGGCAGCCCTGGGGCGTGGGCAGGCGAGGAGTGAGCTGTTCCAGGCCTGGCTGCTCCGGGCCTGGCCTCTGTTGCTCTGGTCCGCTCCACAACCAGCTGCTCCGGGTCTGGCCGCTGCTGCTCCCGGCCTGGCCGCTCCCAGCCTGGCAGCTGCTCCGGGCCTGGCTGCTCCCGACCCGGATGCTCTGGGCTCGCCTACTCCAGGCCCAGCTGCTCCGGGCCTAGCTGTTGATGCTCTGGGCCTGGCTGCTTCGGACCCGACTGCTCCGGGCCTGGCCGCTCCCAACCTGGCTGCTCCGGGCTTGGTGGCTGCTGCTCCGGGCCCGGCCACTCCGGGCCTGGCCACTCCCGGCCTGGCTGCTGCTGCTCCGGGCCTGGCTGCTCCCTACCCGCTGCTCAGGGCCCGGCTGCTCCGGGCCGGCCGCTCACGGCCTGGCTGCTCCGGGCTTGGCTGCTGCTGTTCTGGGCCAGGCTGCTCCCAACCCGGCTGCTCCGGGCCCGGCCGCTCCGGGCCTGGAGCACCCCCCCTATTGCCACCTGTTGTATTCACCCGCATTATTTAGTTTTAGTCATAGATTTCCTCTAAGTCCGTGGTCTGCAAACTGCAGCTCACAAGCCATATGCGGCTCTTTGGCACCTTGAGTGTGGCTCTTCCACAAAATACCACAGCCTGGGCGAGTCTGTTTTGAAGAAATGGTGTTAGAAGAAGTTTAAGTTTTAAAAATTTGGCTCTCAAAAGAATTTTCAATCGCTGTACTGTTGATATTTGGCTCTGTTGACTAATGATTTTGCCGACCACTGCTCTAAGCCAAAATAGGACCATTCTTAATTCTTTTTTTTTTTTTTTTTAATATTTTATTGATTTTTTACAGAGAGGAAGAGAGAGGAGAGAGAGTTAGAAACATCGATGAGAGAAGTTTATGTAACACAACTAGTACCTTAAAAGCTCCTTTTGGCCTTTTTCCCATCACAGCTTCCCTCTCTGCCAGAGAACCAAATGAAATTTTTAATGATTACAGTCTTTTGTTCTTTTAAGACTACTTTTTGTTTTGCCCTTATATAAGTGGTTCATATGTATTTCTATTTGAATTTGTATGTTTCTTTATTCAACATATTTAAAAAATTTATTTTCACTGCTGAATTGTATTCAATGATATAAATGTACCTGAAGTTGTCCTTTAAAAAAAAAAAAAGGATATGAAGGATCAGATCATATATCATAGATCAACTTTATTACACAGGACAGATTTGTTTTAAAGTGAAGGGGTGATACTTGCTTTTGAAATTGCAGGCGAAAGTATCCATGGCTAATTTTTTACCAGAGAGAAATGGAAATGCAGGTATATGAGCCTTCGCCTCTCTGTCCATCCCTTTCAACCAACTGAGAATGTGGGTCTGTTTCTAGAAAAATGATGGAAGCCTAAAAAGTTTAAAGATCAGTTATAAAGTGGGAATACTTAATGAACTTATCCTATCTAATAAAAGAGTAATATGCAAATTGACCATTGCTCCAACAAACAAGATGGCTACCCCCATGTGGTCAAAGATCCTGCCCCCATGTGGACACAAGATGGCCACCATAAGATGGCCAGAAGGGGAGGGGAGTTGGGAGGGACCAGGCCTGCAAGGGAGGGCAGTTGTGAGGGACCAGGTCTGCAAGGGAGGGCAGTTGGGGGCGATCAAGCCTGCAGGGGAGGGCAGTTAGGGGCGATCAAGCCTGCAGGGGAGGGCAGTTAGGGGTGATCAGGTCAGCAGAGGAGGGAAGTTGGGGGTGACCGGGCCTGCAGGGAATGGCAGTTGCAAGGAACCTAGGCCTGAAGGGGAGAGCAGTTGGGGGAGAACCAGGCCTACAGGGGAGGAGGGCAGTTAGGGGCAAACAGGCTGGCAGGAGAGCAGTTAGGCATCAATCAGGCTAGCAGAGGAGTGGTTAGGGGGTGATCAGGCTAACAGGCAGAAGCAGTTAGAGGCAATCAGGAAGGCAGGCAGGTGAGCAGTTGGGAGCCAGCAATCCTGGATTGTGAGAGGGATGTCCAATAGGATAGGGCCTAAACGGGCAGTCAGATATCCCTGGAGGAGTCCCAGATTTGAGAGGGTGCAGGCTGGACTAAGGGACACCCCCTCCCCCATGCACGAATTTCATGCACCATGCCTCTAGTATTTAATAAATATTTGTAATGAAAATAATATAGAATGGGTAAATAAGCATAAAATCTCAGTGACATTCAGCATTAAGCACATATTTCTTGCTCATGTTTTGGTGGGTAGGCCTGGACAGCTCTGGCCACCTCAGCTGGGTTTACAGCCAGGCCACAGGCTTGATCCTTGTCTGCTCCAGGCATCTCAGTCTGGAACCTGCAGGCTACTCAGGCCACATTCTCTGCTGTAGAAGTGGCAGCTTCTTAGAGAGGTTTCACTGCTGCCCACATAAAGTTGCCAAAGCAGATCATCTGAACATGCCCAACATCAATGAGGTAGGGACATGTACTCCTCACAGAGGCTGGGAAACAGAGTGAACACACTCAACAATCATCTCACCAAACTTATGGTCATCAGGTTGTTTCCAGTTCACACCTATACTGCTTCTGTGAATTATGTCTCCTGTCACACATTTGTGAGAGTTTCTTTAGAGTACAAGCCTAGAAGCTGAGCATTTTCAACTTGAATAGCTAGTATCACATGTACCTTTGCCCTGCACAGTAAATTGTGTTTTGCTTCTTGCACTGAACCACTGATATTTTTGATTTTGTGTATATTTAACATACAGTTGAATAATTTAAAAAGCATGCCTAAGTATTTTCAGGGAACTCAATTTTCTTTCCAGCTACTGTTGTGGGATGAAAGCTGCACTATTAAGTCTGCAGAACAAAGTGCAGTGTATCTTTTTGTTAGCAGCTCAGAATCCACTAACCATTTCTACTGTGTTCACTTGGCAGGTTTGGTGCAAATGCCAAAGTTGTGCATTTCCTGGGACGAATCAAACCATGGAATTATACCTACGATCCTAAAACAAAAAGTGTCAAAAGTGAGTCCCATGATCCCACCATGACTCACCCTGAGTTTCTCAGCTTGTGGTGGGACATCTTCACTACCAGTGTTTCACCTCTGCTGCAGCAGTTTGGCCTCATCTCAGACACCCACCTGCACCTCAATGTGGTAGGTTCTGTTTCTTCTTTCAGGTAATTTAATGCTGTGGTTTTTATTTTGTTTATTTTAAATATATTTTTATTGATTTCAGAGAGTTAGGGAGAGGGGGAGAGGAATAGAAACATCAGAAATCAGAAAGAATCATTAATCGGCTGCCTCCTGCACACCCCCCACTGGGTATTAAGCCCACAACCTGAGCATGAGCCCTAACTGGGAATCAACCATGACCTTCTGGTTCATAGGTCAAAGCTCAACTACTGAACCACACTGGCTGGGCAATGCTGTATTTTTTAAAGTTTTGTGTACCAGTAGACATGGAGTATTTGATGGTATGTTAACAAGTAATAAGATTGTGTGGATAGAAAACAATGTTCATCTTAGAGGAGAGAAATGTTACCAGCAAAGACTAACGCAGAAGTAGAGTTTATGGCAAATTTTCTCAAATCAGAAAACATAAAGGGTTTTAGAGGTTTTACTATATTCCCACATTTTGTAACCATAAGCCTCTTAGTCCAACTGTCCTATGATTATTCCTAAAACAGTGAATGCCACGTTTCATGTTTTAAAAATTGCATACATTTAAACATAGTGATTTTACGTTTGCCAATTGCTCAGAAGAATGTATTTTCAGTGAAAATTATAGCATGGACATATAAATAAATACTTTTCCAGGATTATTTTGATATACCATGTTTGTACTCCTATATGGTTATATAGGATCTTAAAAAAGAAATCTTGTAAAAAGATTTACAAGGTAATAATTGACATATTAACATTTACAATAAAAAAGTGCTTAGCATCTATTTCTGACTTTAAAGTTCTTCCTCTAAGGTTTGCTCTTTTGGAGGAATTGGGAAAGGATGAGCAATGGAATTTTTGGGAGTTTATATGTGGGTAAAGTGGGGATAGATGGTGATGGATGGAGACTTGACTTGAGGTGGTGAACACACAGTACAAATGATGTATTATAGAATTGTACATCTGAAACCTATATAATTTTATTAACCAGTGTCGCCCCAATAAATTTAAAAAAAGTAAAGCCTGCATGTTACAAATTAAGCTATAAAGAATAGAACTGTGGTTGAATTACAATCAAGTCTAAGTGATCAGTTAATTGCCTTTTTATCCTATAATAATGAGGTAATATGCAAATTGACCACCATTCCAACACACAAGATGACCGCCATAAGATGGCCAGCAGGAGACGGCAGTTGTGGGTGATCAGGCCTGCAGGGAAGGGCAGTTAGGGGCAATCAGACTGGCAGAGGAGCAGTTATGTATCGATCAGGTTGGCAGGCAGAAGCAGTTAGGGGCAATCAGGCAGGCAGGCAGGCAGGCAGGCAGGCGAGTGGTTGGGAACCAGCAGTCCTGGATTGTGAGAGGGATGTCCCCCAAGGGGTCCCAGATTGGAGAAGGTGCAGACTGGGCTGAGGGACACACACACACACACACACACACACACTGCACTAATTTCATGCACCAGGCCTCTAGTTAAGGTTATAAGAGACTAGTGGCCTAGTGTAAGAAATTCATGCTGGGGGAGTGGTATTCCTCAGCCCGGCCTGTACCCTCTCCAATCTGGGACCCCTCGGGCCTAAACCAGCAATTCGACATCCCTCTCACAATCTAGGACTGCTGGCTCCTAACGGCTCACCTGCCTGCCTGATCACCCCTAACCACTCTGTCTGCTGGCCTGCTCTCCCCCAACTGCCCCCTCCCCCCCTGCTGGCCTGCTTGCCCCCAACTGCCCTTACCTCTTGGCCTGATCACCCCTAACCACCTGCCTCAGCCCCGCCACCATGGCTTTGTCTGGAAGGTCTCCCAGTCTAAATAGCATATAGATACTTCTTAGATACTTCTAGATACTTCTCTTTGCTCTGTTATAGATTTTAGTCATTTCACTTATTAGCACTTGTAACAAAATATGAAAAGGAGAATGGGAAAAATAACTCACTGCTTACATTCTTACTTTTTTTTTAAATATATTTTTATTGATTTCAGGGATAAAGGGAGAAGGGAGAGAGAGATAGAAACATCAGTGATGAAAGAGAATCATTGCATTTACACATACATATAGATATAGCAACAAAAAATAATCCAAAAGTTTTGTTCTGCCAGTTTCTGTTAAAAGCAATACCTACATGTATTCATCCGCCTTGCTTTTTCTCTACCAAGATTTCCAGTACCTTCTCACCTTAGAGTTTTTTTTTTGAAGGATAGCTTTGATATGCCTTAATGGTACAATTGAAGTTAATTGTGTCTCTATATGTTATAAGAATCTAATATAGAGTAGGTTTGCTCCATTTCCTGGACATTCATTTTGTTCCTTTCACAACTCAAGGACTAAGAATTATGAACCAAGAAAAGTGACGCTGGGAATTGAAACAGTAGTTCAAAACTAAGCTAATTAAATGTACAGAAGCTACAAGATTAGATGCTACATGGTAATAAGCTTGAATAAGCAGATGAGTTTGGTGCATGGTCTCAAACCATTTAGCTCTCTTTTATGATGTGACAACTTGTGTATGTGGTGCAGCTCTCTGTTTAGGTTCTTTCTGAAGCTTAGCCTCTAAGGCAGTGGTTCTCAACCTTTCTAATGCTGTGACCCTTTAATACAGTTCTTCATGTTGTGGTGACCACCAACCATTATGAGAACCACTGCCCTAAAGAATCATTTTGTTTAAGTTCTCAACCTTTCTGAGCTAACAGATCAAGACTTATGTATCATGAGACTGTGTTCCCTTGTCCATCATCTTACACTTTCTAATGAACTGTTTGCAGCTTTCAGACTTGGTCTATACACTACACTGGCTTTCTCTTGTGGCTTCTCTAGAAAGGTATGCAGAACTTAAACATTGACCTTAATTACTTTGTTCTCTTAATGTTTTCACTGAGTCAAGAAGTCTTCATTTTGTTAGGGAAAAAAATCATATGACCTTTGTATTTTTTGTGTCCTTTTTTGTTTGTTTCATGTAATACTTTTCAGTTTTTGCTACTTTGCATGATAATTCATCCTGGCTTTTCTCACCTTCAGTTTATTGCATTCTCTAAAACTGATTTTCAGCTCTCAAGGAGTCTCTGATTATGCTCTCCTTTCTAGGAAGATGTCTCTGGAGCCATGTCACATTTGTCCGTTGGGGAGACCCCGGCTACGGCACAGCCTTTTGTATCCTCAGAAGAACGGAAGGAGAGGTGGGAACAGGGCCAGGCTGATTACATGGGAGCAGATTCCTTTGACAACATCAAGAGGAAACTTGACACTTACCTCCAATAGAAACACTGCCACTTTTCCATGGACACATCCATTTCGCAGGCACTTTTTCCCTCATACTTATTACCTAGAGCTGGGTCTGTTACAGTTGCTAGAGGCTTTCACTGAAATTCATCAGATAAGGGGTTTTTGTAGGATAACAGCAGAAGTTATGAAGTAGCAATTGTTAAATGGACAATAAAGTAGCAATTGTTAAATGGCCTGTTTTTTAAACCTAGACTTATTCAGCTGATGTTTCAGAAATTCTGTTATGCTGATGCCAACGTATGTGGTAAGGGAAACTCAAATGATTAAGATGGTTATATCAGCTCTTAAAATGGGCTGAGCCAGGGGCCAGATCAATCTTTTCAGAACGGGACATGGTATCTGTCCCTGGCTTGCTGTTACACCTTTGTAGACATGCATTTCAGAATTGTCCAGGGCTGACCAAGTGATTACAGTTCTGCTTTCAGGTGAAGACAGCCTGTAATACTGCTGAGTGATTCATAAACCCATCAACAAATGGCATTAACCCATTTTCTTCCCTAGCTTTAGTGTCTGAAGATGCCCCAGTTTTCCATGTACAGTGAGGCAGCATGCTAAAATGCTTCTATTCAGTTCTGTATATCTGAAAACAGCAGTGGTACCTTATATGAAAAATAAAGTTATTGCCATATCTTATTGTCTAGTTTAATTAAGAATTCCTACCCCATTGGGGAAAAAAATGTATTGGGGGATTTTTCATAATTTGTAGAATGTCAGTGGTTTAAAACCAGTGTAAAACTTGGTACTAGAATATATGCTTTAAAATTGGTTTCCAGATAGCGAAATATAATTAAATCTAGAGTTCTGCAGTGGTGGAATGGATCTGATAGATGAAAGTGAGATCAAGCTCATCTAATCTGTGACCCACATTACATCTTCATAGGAAATGAGTATTCAGATTTAGAATGCTGTGACCTTAAAATCATCATGGGTTCATTGTCAGTCTCGGAATATACCCAGTAATCTTCTAGGACTGTTAGAATCAATACTGGACCCCAGTGTCTTTTGGTGTTTTTTATCCATGGCTTAACATGATAGAAATGTGAAGAATATTTATTAAATGTACAAATGATTCTAGGTTGTAAGGATGGCAAGCTAGGAAAGAGTAGGATGGAAAATGAACTTTTAAAACTAAAGTGAGTATTCAGAAATCATTCTATTAAAGAAAACAGGGGAATACCATTCACAAAATGAAGCTTGAGGTTTAATTGGGCAGAAACTTAAAATGGTTTTTATGACCTAAATGTCAAGATCACCCTTCTTTATTTCCACAATATCCCACCGGTTACACAGGTTAGTCCTATTAAATATCAGTGTAAATGAATACACATGGGTCTGGAATTCTATAGGCAAGAATGACTGGAGACAACCTTGGAGGCTGTCTACCACAAGAGCTCAAGAACATGTGGATTTACCCAAAATTGTAAAATATTAAATTATTCCTGAAGGAAAAATAAGCAACAATTATTTGGACTGCTAAGTACATAAAGCATTGTTAGGTGCTGTGCTCTGAAGTCTCTCAAGATACTCCAAGTCTAAGGATCTCTGCATCAGGGGGTATGAGCTAAACTCTTCCCATGAGAATCCAAAGCATAGAGAAACAAGGCTAAACAGAAATTTAATTTCTTTACAGTGTAACTTGCAAGTCATACAAATGAGCCTTTATTTCTGGACAATATGTATAATTTTAAAGTTCAGTGTTACCTTCACAATCCCAATGATCAAAGATAATTGTCTGGTTTCAAGAAAATACTTGAGTATATTCCAGAAATAACATCTACCAAGTATATATCTAGTACCTACAATATCACACATGTAACAGGCATTATAAATATAGGACAAGATATATTTCCTTATAGTCTAGTAGGGAACAGACCAAAACAGAAACTAACAAATATAAATATTCTAAAGTACACTGACAACATTGACAGGCAGGATCCAGCCTTAGGGTGGTCAAGAAAGATTCTGCAAGATCTTGATTAAGCCAGAAAGAGAGGTACTATCCCCTTAAAAGGGAAACATGCCAAAACTGGTTTGGCTCAGTGGATAGAGCGTCAGCCTGCGGATTGAAGGGTCCCAGGTTTGATTCCGGTCAAGGGCATGTGCCTTGGTTGCAGGCACATCCCCAGTGTGGGGTGTGCAGGATGCAGCTGGTAGATGTTTTTTTCACATCGATGTTTCTATCTCTCTCTCTCCCTTCCTCTCTGTAAGAAATCAATAAAAATATATATATTTTTAAAAAAATAAAAGGGAAACGTGAGGAAAGGCCTGGAGCAAGCAAGAACTCAATGGAAGGAAATGATACCAAGACAGGATGGAGAGGTAGGAAGTGGCTTCATAGGCCAAAGTGTAGGCTTTTGATTTTATTCTAATTTAATAGCAATTGATAAAAGTTTCATTCATGTAATTTAGATCTAATTTTTTGTATTAAAGAGAAATTAGAGATGCACACAAAAGTTAGTGGAAGAGTTTAAAGAACCCCTATCACCCAGCTTCAACAATTGTTTAATCTATATCCCCACCAATTCTTTCACTCACACACACACACACACACACACACACACACACACACGCCTATTTGGAGGCAAATGCCATATAAGAAATTTCATATGAAATATTTCCATATATATCTTTAAGATGTAAGAACTTTTGAAGATCACACCAAAATACAATTATTTCCAAATGTCTCCATTCCCCTTTGTTCTTATTAGGATCCAACTAAGGTCCAGACAGTATAATTGGTTGATACCTCTCTAGTAGAATCTTCTATTTCTGTACCCTTCCTTTTTGTTCATTTTTGTCTCCTTGCAATTTATTTATAGAAACCATATTATTTGTCCTGTAGTCCCCCACATACTGTATTTGCTGATTGCAGTTTGCCATGTTTCCCTGTATTCTATTGACAGTACTTTAGAGTGGTGTTAGCAACTTCTCTATAATAGAAGTGTCAGAGATGAAAGAAAATTAGTAAAATATAAATGAAAATCTTCTTGCCAGAGTCTGGGGTGCACACAGAACCCAGAGTCAAGTCCCCACCCACCTGTGCCTCAAAATTGCATGAGACCTAGACCCTGCTGGCCCCAACCCTGTCAAGCCCCACTCGGTGGGGGTGCCTTCAGGTCCCATGGCCCAGCGCCGGGCAGGGGCACAGCCTCAGTTCCCACGTCAAGACCCACTGGGCTGGGGTGCACCCTCAGGTCCCCTGGCGCTGGGGCAGGGGGTGTGGCCTGAGGTCCCCAAGGGCAGGAGGCACAGCCTCAGTTCCCCTGGCCTGTGGCAGGGAGTGTGGCCTGAGAGCCCCTGTCAAGCCCCGCCAAGGTAGGGGGGGGTGTAGGCTCATGTCCCCCAGCTTAGCACTGGGAGGGGGGTGCAGCCTCTCAGGTTCCCTGTCAAGCCCCGCTGTGTAGGAGGCACAGCCTCAGGGTTTCCATCAAATCCCCACCCCGTGGGGGGCGGGGAGCGGGACGCAGCCTCAGGTCCCTGCTGATTGCTCATTAAGGCTCAGTGCAGCCATCTTGTGTTATGGAAATCCCACCTCTGCTGTGGGTGCCATCATCTTTGTGATGGCATAAGTCAATTTGCATATTCCCTCTTTATTAAATAGGCTGTGTATGTATTCATATGGCAGGATAAATGATTGATTCTTTCTCTTCATTCCCAAGTATGCAATATAAGGACTTAGTTTCCTAGCATACTCCAAAGTTGACCATGGGAGTTTTGTTATAGTACCAGTATGATTAATAAATTTTAATATAGTTTTTGTTTCAATCCATTGCAGTTTTCTTAAAGATGGTTTTATTGTCTTACCTATGAAACTTACATTTTAAAAACATTATTTTCAGCTGGTGGGAACTAGTTTGAATGGAAGGCCAGTTTATTGTGGTGGTTCTGGCAAAAGACGATGTTGCTGATGGACTGGATGTGAAGACTCATGAAAAGGAAGTAACTTTTCCTGATCAACTGAGTCTCTACCTGGATGCTAAAGTACAGCTTCTTGGGCCTCATCACTACACATTCTCATTCAATAGGTCTTGGGGTAAAACTCTGGTATCTCCATTCTAAGAAACAAGCACTGCAAATGACTCTGACCTAAGTGACGTTTGAGAGAACCACTTGATATGAAAACATTTACCTAAATAAAATCAGGAGTCAGGTTTATAGGAGATGTATAAAAAGGTGAGGAGGTTGATTGTTGCATAGCAGAGACTACTTCCAACTAGTGAAGGCTTTATATCCTTGAGTGATATAGGAAACATCATAAAAAACATCTATAAATATAATTGTGTCCTGCTTACCTTTTTAATGTCCCTAAAATTTGGGAAATTAAGCTAAATAAGTAAGACTTGCCTTAAATAGAATAGTCTGGTTTGTTTTTTTTCTCTACTGCTTATTATAAATACCAAAATGGATCATAATCTACATTTATATTTGGGTACATTATTTAATAAACGATTTCTCTGCATTTCAGATAAGGAAATTCAATATTCTTTAAGTAGTAAGAAAGCAAAAAGAAAAAAAGACTATTAATTAGTTATTTACATCTCAATTCTCTCAATCCCATCAATACTGTTCTCATTTTGCAGATGATCAGAGACTAAGAAAGATCTGCAAGACTTTCCAAATTCCAAAGCTGGTAAAGCTCTGCATTAAACAAATGTATGGTCAAAACAGTGAGATCAAAGGTCTCTGTATATAACCAGAAATGCAAATACCAGAAATCTGGGGAGTAATACAATGTAATAATGGAAAAGCTTTCATTTTACTAGCTATTTAGGCAAGGGCAGTAGCCTTGAAATAGGACTTGGGAAATACCTTTTACAAACCCTTTTACTAGGCTTTCTTAAATAGGCTGCCTGAAATCTATCCTATATAATAAAAGAGTAATATGCAAAATGACCCTAACAGCAGAACGACTGGTTGCTGTGACATGTGCTGACCAGCAGGGGCAGACATTCAACGCAAGAGCTGTTCCCTGGTGGTCAGTGTGCTCTACTCA